TAGATAAAGATTTAAGAAAACAAAACAGAATCGATAAACATTGCCCAACTTGCGTCATATGTCGATGTCCTTATTTTGACGAGCGCCTGATTTCACCAACACGTCACACATACACATTTAAAAAAATATTTTTTGGAGCCTGCCCAATTCTATCATCTGGCGCTTTCGTGTTTAGTAATAACAACAAACTGTGCTGCAATTTGGATTTTGAAATTAGCTGTTAGTCTTAGAGTAAACACAAAGGAGAATGTTTTACATACGCACACACACATACACATTAATTTACATTTCCGGGACTTCATTTACCTGTACTGTATTTATTTTTGCAATCCCTGGCCTATAAGTAGTACAGGAATTCGATCCTTACGCATTCTGGTTTTGAGTTGTTTTGTTTGCTTTTGTTTTTGTTGTTTTTTATGGGGGGGGGGTGTCTGTTTGTTTTTGGTTATCATTATTTGTTCTTTTTTTTTTGGTCTGGCAATTCAGATACAAGAGTTATGAGTTTTTGTGGGGGGGATTTTGGGGGGGTCTAGCCCCTGACTGGTAAATATGATATTGCCTAAGAGGACAGATTGGAGCATATTGAGTTACTGTCTACACGAAGTCGTGGTGATTAAGAAAAAAATTGTTTTGATCAGTGTAAATAAAACTCAACAAGCTGAAGTCTGTTCTGCTATATTTTAGTCTCTTTCATTAAAGCTAATAATGGTATTAGTTTTTGTAGGAGATTCACAGCACTTGCAACACCATTAAGTCATATAAGCGCCGAAGATTAAAAGTGTTACTAGAGAGTAGCATAAAGAAAAGATGGAGGAGAAATAAGGATAGTAGATGTTTGAAAGGAAAGAAGAGGGACAGATAAGGAGATACACGTTTGATAGAAAAGAAGGAGGACAGATAAGGAAAGGAGATAGATCTAGATGTTTGATAGAGAAAATGAGCCAACCAAAGCAGAGCACCCGCCAACTACCCACTCATGATGACTGGGAAGTAGCTGTGGTCTCACATCGCCCAGAGAAAAAGAAGACCGAAAAAAAGGAAAGTTGTCAATTTGTTAATGAGGCCGCTAATTTGTTTTTTCCGTTTGTGTTCTTTTCATCTCTTAACAAACAGACAACTGGAACGACGGAACCCCCCGCAGAGGCATTTTTTAAACCAACGAGAATGATAATAAAAATAATAATGAGCAATACAATCGATCTACAAAAATAACAACAGAACACGAAGACTGAAATAGATAGAAAAATAAAAATGTCCTGCTTATGACTCATAGAGCTGACAATAGCATTGCGTCTTTATTTCGTTGATAATAATATCATGTGTGACCACATGGTGGAATCAGGCGCTCGTCAATAGTTAACCCTATCCGTACGTCGTGTTTTGCAATCGTATCGATACCGCTTTTTCCAATTTACTGGTTAATCTGATCCGCACGCTTTACATAGCTGTCTGCCAAAATGATTTTTTGAGAAATACTGAAAGTTTCAAAGAGATCTTCGTATTAGAATCTAGAAGTACATGTATTCTAAAATGTGAGGAAAACATCGTCGGGGGTACAAAATGACCCCAGAGTGTGAGGATAGGGTTAATTTATTTGAGCAAATAGGGTCATTGGAATCTCTTGCTCATTTTTTCTTGCTTCTG